TTTTCACTTTGCCCAGGTGTTCAGAGTAAAGAAAGATGAGTTATTATGTCCCTTTTTAATTAGTGTTGTGTGCATGCTTATGTAATTTAATCTTTAAAATATTCCGCATTCATGAGTAGGGATCCTTTTTTACAAACAATTTTAGTAGCAAAGCTTCAAATTAAATGGGGTGGTATTTGGCTCAGGTTGTTGCTTTCTTTACAAATTGAGTTCTTGGTTCTGTTGGCCATGTGCCCAAAGATGGCCAAGTCTAATGCTTGATGCAGAGGCTCTTCATAATGAGCTTTAACCAGTTCTGCTGGTTTGTCTTGCACGCTGCTCAGCCTCCTGTTCGAGGGGTTCATCTCTTCTGCTGGGAGCATCACTCACACGAAGCAACCTACTTGGCAGCACGTAGGTCCTCCGAATGGCTTTTTTGCATGACAGTTGCTTGGGGTTTGGGGTATTTTTTTTTTTTTTTTAATCTGTAGCCTTACCTTACTCTCTTGGGACAAAATGTACATAATGAAGGCTTTTGTTCAAACATCAGCAAATGAGTCTTACAGCTGGCCTACAGATACTTTGCTCTCGTTAGGAGGTTTAATTCTTGGAATTGGTTTTGCACAGCTGTGGGCTGCTTTTTCATCCCTGGAAATGTCCTTCCATTATCAGGATTGTACTTCCAGTGTTGGGTCAAGTGATTGTGCAAGGTGTGTTGGATCAGTCACTTGAAACCCTTGTGTCCAAGTAGACTTCCAGTATGTGCTTTTCTGATGAAGTGATGGAAATGGTAAGAAATAAATCACAGATTAAGAATTTAAAGCAGGATCAATGGGGTACCTTCTCCAGGTGGTATAAACAGGATTTTGCCAAGACACTGGTCCCTGTACGTTCATTCCTGTGTCCAATTTGAACAAGTCCAGTGCTTCAGTTGGTAGGTGACATTGGTGTATAAAATAAATCGTGGGTTTGGGTTTTTTGTTTTGTGTCCCCCCCGCCCTGTGTTGTTGGATCTCAGATGAGATCTTTTCAAACTGAAGTATAGAGGGACATGCATATCAAGCAAATTAACAGTAAAATTCTCAAGTAGACTAAGCCTGATGCAACACGCTCTCTATGTGGGGGATATTTTATAGCTGTTGGGCAGGACTTATTAAACCCCAGGCTGTAGTTCATAAAGCGTGATTTGCTTCTTTCTTGTGTACTCTGAACAATGCTAGCAATGTTTGGGTGCCATTTGGGTTCCCAAACCTTGTATATAGGGGATGACATCATATGAGGTGAAGTTTTGCAAGTGTTGTCCTGCTACTTAGTGTCATACCTAGTTTTCCTATGCATTTTGGGTGTGTTCTTGACTCATTCCTTGGCCCTTTTCTGAGTGGCAATTATATGGGAGGTTGTTGAAAAAGGCAAAAATAAACAAGTCACTTTCAACTTGGAATGTAGAAGAGAGCAACCAGACTTCTTCACTGCTTTGTTCATTTACCAGCCTTACCTGCATCACCCCTCTTTCTCCTGCTGTAGATAAAGTTCTGTTTTTCTTGGCAAGGTGCTTGCCTTCCCAGCCTCCCTCCTTGCCTTCCCTTGAAGCTGCTTCTCAAACAAACCAATACTGATTCCCTTCACAAGAGAATACCTTCCACATCACTTCCATATGAATTTTCAGATTTTCTTAATATAATTTTTCTGGGACAATACAAAGGCAGGAGTTTGAAATAAGTCTTCAAGCAAAGTTATATTAGCATGCTTTAATTTACCTCTCCCCTTAAGAGTAGGTGCTTACCTTTGAAGCTTAAACAGCTCCGTCATATGCTATTGAAAGATTAACTCTTTATTCCACCAGGTTCTGTATACTTCTAACACTGTGTGGGAATTGAAGATGTTCCAACACAAAAGCTGTTAGAGCCTTCATTAAAGTTATCTGAGAGGGGTGCGGTGGTGTGTGTGACTACATTACACTGATTATCCACTGCCTCCCCTCCTGTGCCCCCAACATACAGCCCCAGACCAACACAATTGTGACTGAACAATTTTCCTTCTGTTTCAGACCTGGGAAATTCCTTATGTTCTTTAAAGTTGGTTTTGTTTTTATTTTTTTTTCCCCCCAGCTATGTGAATTGTTATAATAGAAGATGTTCCCTTGTCTAGCACGTTCTTCTCCCCCCACCCCCATGCCCCAAGCTGCTTCTGCTGTTGATTTAGACTGCAGGGCTTGCATTAAACTTGAGATGTAACAGCTTAAGTGCCCTTCCACCCACTCTAAAGTTCAAGGCTTTGCGATGGTGGCTACCAACTCGTTTCATCCTGGAAAGTGAAAACTGCCTTTCTCAGCATCGCTGACAGCAGAGCTGCTGCACAGGCTTGCGACCTTCCAAAGGGTAACGTCTTGTTCCTGGCCACCTTGTTCTTGCCCCTGACCCTTTCACATTGTACCATCTCTGGTACTCGATGTTCCCTTCCATCGATTGATTCAGGCTACTAAATCTGTGCAAAACTGCCCTGGGGAAACTCCACAGCTCTGAGCAGAAGCTTGTATTCTGATCTGTTTGCTAATGTGATAGCTTTTTCAGTCAGAAGAGGATGGTCTCCACAACTGTGAGTAGTTTTTGAAGCATTACAAGTTGGTGGGCTAGGTTGGACCAGTGAAGCTACTGAAGCTTTTTTTTTTTTCCCCTTAAGTTCCAATTTTCAAATTATCTCATGTATTAAGAAAATATCATCTCCTCAGAAGTTTTCTGAAAGCTTGTTTGCTATTGGCGAGACTTTGAGGATAAAGACCAGACCATTAAGAAGCTATAATATAAGGCATTGAACATCTTTCAAACTCTCACCCCATATAGGTACTTTCATGGAGTTTGAGCTTTCTTTGAAAATCTTGTCTAATTTGTCTCTCTTTGTCATTTTTAAAACAAGATTTTTTTTTTTTTTAAATAGTCTAGGATGTCAAGTTCAATATACAAGACAAAATGGTAAATGATCCCTGAAGACATGACTGTGGCTTACTAACTTCATCAGTCTGTTGCAAGCCATTAAATAGCATGGTGACCACAAAATTTGTGAATGTAAACCTGTGAAATGTGTCTGTATTAGGAAGTCAGCATAAAAATACCCTGTAATACACTTTAAGGGGTGAGTTTTATTGCTTGATTTCAAAGGATTTTGTGTCGACAGATACCAGCTTTCCAAGAGAAGATACAGCATTACCCTTCTAAGTCGATTTTTAATAAATGCTGATTAAATAATTTATACTTGGGAAGTTTCAAGTAACAATTGTGTTATATGTTTTGAAAATGGATTAAAATGAACCACTTGCCGATAAGAAAAATATCTCAAACTTGATCCTTTTCTATTTTCCTGAAACAGAATAGTTTCTGATATTTGATTATTACTGTATTATAGGAATACACAGCTTGAGAGCAGCAGGCAAATGTAGAAGATCCCTTTGACTTTTATTAAAAAAAAAACCTGTTTGTGTTAGAACCAGAACTGTTTTTTTCAGATACTAGTTCTTGCTGATAATTTAAAAGGACCAAAAAAAAAATCTTTTTCATTTTAGATGTGATAGTATTTTTGTGCATTTCCCAGTGAATACTTACGGTTTGCTCTTGGGGGGGGAAAATATATTTTTTTGGATAGGTATCTATTTTTCTGGGGGGGAGCCAATTACATTATGGAAGTTGTCCAGTCCTTCTCACTGGAAGACCAGTTTGCCTGACTAATTGCTGAGGTTGAGGTTTTTTTTACATCTTGGGGTCAGACTTAAAGGCAAGGGAGAGTAGACTGGGAACAGACTTGCTTACTCGTACTTAACTTGACATTGGCTTTGTGATCCAGGCTGTTCTTCCACGGCAGTGTGGTAAGTCATAGCCTTACAGCGTGTGCTGTTAACTGCTCAGCACAGTACAGCTTCTCAGTGGCTGAAGACCACAATACAGTTCTCAACTGTTACAGATTTAACCAGTTTCTTATACAGGGTATGATGCATTCTCTTCCTACTGTTATTTGTTGGTTTTTTGGTTGTGTTTTTTTTTCCTCCTGTCATGTGCAGAAGAATTAAATTACTATTTTAGATCTATACTAAGTGTGCATACAAATTCCTGTTGTAGGACTACATAGCAGTTGATAGTACATAAATTTTCTATGTCAGTCATCTTGATATCACAAGTGTCTCTGGAATACCTTGTTTAGCTCTTGGGAAGACAGTCAGCCTAAAGTCTAGCTGCTTAGTTGCATGTTGAAGATCCCCACTGCTTTAATAGTATAGCTATTGTGATTGACTTCCTGTTTTTTTCAGGACTTCACAACACTGTGTTTGCCTACTCATGCAACATATCAGAGACTGATCTGTTCCCCTGCTATCTGTAAATACTTGTTAAACCTCCTGGCAAGCCTGAAGTATCATTCTGTGCAGTGATTGTTCTGAAGAGGGACCCTGTTGATACAATAACTATCAGTGTCTCTACTTATTTACGTGGAAGAAGTCTGTTCTGTGAAGATAAAAAGCTCTGACTGTGCTCTAGGAACATCTGATGAAACTTGACTTTTCCTTTTTTTGACAGCCCTATGGATCATTAACACAGACAAATGAAATTTAAATACTTAAGCAGTAAGGACGAGATGAGTTGAGAGATTCCAGAAGGTTATTCCAGAGATCATGCTTCATAATCTCCAGAGTTCATAATTAGCAGTAACTTGAACTGGTCTAGATTTGTTAGCCAGTAGTTGAGATGCAAGTGAAGTGTGAAAATTTTGTTTCCACTTATGGTATCATAACTGGAACTTGAAAATGTATTTGTAGAAATGAAGGTAAGAGGGACTATTGTCAGGAGCAATTGAAAGAGAACAGCAAGAGAAAAGGATACATGAAAAGCTCCAGGGAGCTGGAACACACTGGCAGTATCGTGAAAAAGAGTTCAAAACAGACTTGATATGGGTATGTAAACAGTTGGACTCCAGGAAAAAGAATAGCAATATTTCTTCTTAGCTAATGATGTCTTTAATCATATGTTCTTTTGTCCTAGTGAAGAATCAGACAGTGAAATCGTGTGGTTTGAGGGATACTTTATGGCTAAGAAAGGTGGAATTTTGAATGGTGCAGTTTTTGTGACAGAATCTTTGAACAGGCTGTAAGTTCGTCCTGATTGCAAATGGTGCTTGAGAAGAGTAGAGATTGGTGATTGTATTTGTGGAGATTTGATGTCTGCTCTGTCTTCCTGCAGAAGTGACTCATAGCAGCCTGAAAGTATGGGAAAATGCCGTTACAGTAAATGGACTCACGAGTAGGAGAGTAGCAACAAGCACAGAAATGCTTGGAAGAGACTGCCAAACCACCTGGAAGGCTCTGTGGAGAGCATGGGGGGGAAACATAAAATGTGGAAAATGCACCTGGCCTATATGACGTACAATTTGGAGAAAAATGCTTTAACAGCTGCCAGCAATACAACCCTTTTTCAAGACAGCAAAGCTGAGATCAGAAAGTGAGCGTGAGATTACGGCATAGGAGGTCGCTGGTCTCTAGCAAGAAGCTCTACAGTGATGCTGTCTCTGTAAAACTGGATAGTGAGTAGTCATGTGGAAGAGACACAGGGAGACTAATAGCAAAAGGGTAAACTGGATGCTGCTAGTAAATACTGTATTTAAAAAGGAATAAACCTAGTTAGCCAATATGAAGAGCTTATCTTGAGTTTTTGTGCATACCTTGTGTGGTTTGGGTTTGGTTTTTTTTTTT